CCTTCCCAAATTTGTATCCTCTACATTTTTTTCCTTTGTAACCCACTGAGTCCAGTTCAAACTGCCCAAATGAACTTGAATGTTTGACTATACACCGGAGCAGGGGCACCTACCAGAGGACCACACACCTCTAAAGAGAACCGATTTTCCCTCTCCAGAAGCCACCAACTGCCAATAGCCCCTCAGCTAGAGTGGGACCTCATGTGCCCCTCCCCATGAACAGTGGGATATCGGCTGTCTTTATCTTGCTTCAGTCTTGTGCAGGCAAACTCAGTTGCAGCAAGTTCCTGAGCACAGTGGTCCTGTGCAGAAAACACTATTTTAGCTCGATACTCTCCACCTCTGACCCCCACACTCTTTGTACCCTGTCTTCTGAGATAAATCCTGAGTCTTGGTGTGTATGTGTGCAACATATATGTCCTATTTATGACTGAGCATTCCACTGACACCTATTCTCTGTGCTTCGACCAGTTATGAGTGTCTTCATCTACTACCATCCACTCCCCCTATTCCTATTTCTAACTATGTGCCTGTGGGTTAATTCTTCGCTGTGGAATGCAAGAACCTGAGTCCTAGTTAATAATTCCAGCACAGATGGGGGAAGGCCTCAGAGGCTCCACTTCTAACTGTTGGTGGCTTCAGGAGGGGGAGTCATTTTTCTTCTGGAATGCGGACACTAGTACACTGTCCATGTTCATGAAAGCAGCACTAACTGGATTCAGGGAGTCATTAAAAATTGCAATAAGATATAAAGAGGAGAGGGGTACATATTGAGGGATGTAAGGGTAGTTGGAGGGAAGTTGAGTAAGGATAGGATCAAGATACATTGTACATATGTATGAAATTGCCAAATAAAACATTTCTGAAAAAAGTCCAGATATTTCTGCAGGTGGCCTGGGACTCAGATCCATGAGTATTATAGCCATACACTGACTATCTCAACCTTGATTTTTATTTGAGAAGCTAGATTCTATCATATTGGTTGGTATAATACATAGCAAAAATCTATATCGTCATAAATATCATTTCTTATGATTCACCCGTCAAAGCCCTTTAAAGAAAACAAGTTTTGAACACATTATGTAATAACTAACCGGGGAACCATGCTTCTCATATCATTAATGGAAGATGTGGAATTGCTCTCTTGAACTGTTTGGACCTTGGAACATCCAGTCAGAGACAGTGTGACTCAGCCATACAGGAATTTAGAGGACGGAAAGTCCAAGACACCATTAAGGATCAGCCAGACCTTTGGCTTGTTTGTCTACTTGCCCTACAGAAAATGCGAAGAAGCATAGGGAGAATGCTGGATAGTTAATAACAGGAAGTCTGGTGAGCCTTCCGTTTGGGCAGAAAACTCTGGGGATTTAGTGGGGGCTGTCACACCCAGTCCCTTCTACTGAAATAGCAGGCTTCTTTAATTAATTGTATGAGGAGATCAAGTCGACATGACTCCCTGAAGACCTTAGAATGAACATCTCCTACTTCAGAAGAATCCAATGGCTGCAGTAGTTACAGTCTGAGCAGCACAATATATTACACCATTATTCCCACCACAGAGGCCGCAATGAGCAAGTGACAACCAGGTGCTTTTTGGTACTTGTTGTTTTATTTTGTTTTTCTTTTTATTTGAGACAGGGTTTCTTTGTGAAAAACGTCCTGGCTATCCTGGAACTCACTCTGGAGACCTTGAACTCACAGAGATCAGCCTGCCCCTGCCTCCCAAGTGCTGGGATTAAAGACTCGAGCCACCACCACCCAGCCTGACAAGCAGGTGCTTAGCTGCAGACCGTCTCTGTTTGTCCTCATGCAGGTTATACATGGGATCTATAAATTTCTGTCAGAAAACAAACAGAAGGCTCTTTTGTTCACACTTTTCCCTTGTGTCATCTCACATGTCACCTTGAAAATAATCCATAAAATAGACTCTGACAGATAATAACTTCTCAGGGCACTCAGCATCCTGAGACCAGAATTCTGAAAGGTGCCACCCTAAGTTACTTTTTAGGTAGGTACTACAGATGTTGTGCCTGGGTGTTGCCTAAAAATCGAGACACGCCTCACATCCTACTTGGCTCTGACACAGTTGTCTGTCAGATTGCCAGGAAAATTATTTTTATTCAGTTTAGGTTGCTTTTATTTCGTTTTGCTTATTTATTTTCTGTTGCCCTCTAAGTTTCCAAAGAAGCGTCTCACGAAATTACATTTGGGTAAGAAATCTACTCAGCACCCTTGCTCGATGGCAGTCTAATTGCAGAGTGGCTTCTCGGTGTTGTTGAAGTCCCGGTCATCTTGGCAGCTAACTCGCACTTTCACCTTCACGGCGATCTGCAGTTCATTCAGCCTTCAACAAACAAAATGAGGGACTTAGAGTCCTTCCCGCTTCCTCCGCTGCCACAGCTGTGCAAGCAGACGCCGTGTATGCAGGCTCCAAATGATAGGCTGTAATGGTTAATTTTATGTATTAACTTGAGTGACAGTGCCTAGATATGAAGGTGAACCATTTTCTGGATATTTTGGGGAGAGGATCTTGGGGGTGAATTTTACGTTGAAATCACTGAAATTTAACTAATGCAGACTACCGTCTATAAGATGGCGGGCTTCATCCAGTCAAAGGTCGTGAACAGAAAGGACCGAGCCTCTCTGACCTACAGGGACTTCTGTCAACCCACAGCCTTACAAGCTGCACTGCATCTCTGGCTCCGCTCCTCTCCCATTTTACCAGCTCCTCCCTGTGCTTTTGACCGTGCTAGCCTCCTTAATTACAGAAGCCAATTCCTTAAAACAAAACAAACAAAACCACACTCACATTCATTCTATTGGTTTTGTTTTTCAAGAGAACTTCAATACCCTAGTATTTTATAAGTTTCCATTAAAAACTCATTGAAGAATGAGAAGTATTAAAAACACTGAAGATATGCTCATGGGCAATTACAAATTTATTACTTGTAGCAAAACAAACAAACATTTGAGCTCTTTGCTTAGTCTGTCTGTCCAGTTTTTCTTTCTCTATTTATTTTTCTCTGTGTTGCCGGGGAATGAGACCCAAGCCTGCACCTTGCTGATGATAGGAAAGGATTTTACCATGCAGCTTTGCCTTGAGCCCCATTCTGTTGTGTGCATTGAAAAGGGACATCAGTTGCCATAGTAACTGACAAATCAGCCTCAGGTTTCTCACAGAGGATGCCTGCACTCATGCCATGGGCAGGTCGTGGTCAGGTGTGGGCTGCAGTGAGCAGCTGCCATTGTCCTCCACACCTGGGGAAAGTCTTACTGTGTAGCTTCCTGGCATCTGGATGTTCTGATTTACTTGCCACTCAGCAACTGCTTAGGATGGGCTATTAGACCAGAAGACCAACTATGGCCCTCAGAGGATCACTTGACCTGGAAAATCCAAAAGAGACTGTCCCAGGAAACAACTGACCTAAGAATATGGAGACAAATTGACTTCTGGTGACAACCATCTTACTTATCTATGATTTGGGGAAGCAATCTCAGCAACTGGCTGTAGCTTCTTCCAGTGATGCATTCGAGGTCATAAGAGAAAAAGCAGTTCACTTTTCTCTTGAGTCAAATTTTCTGCACCATTGAGAAAAATTAATAACATCCTCAGCAAGTATGTTAAACTGTCATTTCTTAAACAAACATAAATGCTTGGGAGCAGAGTACAAAATTTGCACACTGTCCAGTACTTCCAAAAATGAATGGCTTCTAGTAGGTTCTTAACAACTAATGTCAGTCAATATTATATTTGCTACTGCCCTTAGCAAGATGCCTTTGATGGAGAAAGTTCTAAAAGCATGAACAGATGAATGGGTAAAGAAAATGTACAAATACAAATGGAATTTCACACAGTTGCACAAAAAACGACATTTTTAGGAAAGTGCATTATGTTAAATGAAACAAACCAGACTGGAAAGACAAAGAATTGGGTGCTTTCTTTTCTATGTAGAAACTAGATTTAAAATTTTGTGTGTATGTATGTGTGTGTGTTCATGGGTGTGTGTGTGTGTGTGTGTGTGTGTGTGTGTGTGTGTGTGATGACACTAGAAAGAGGATCAGATAGAGAAGGAAGAAATCTTGGATGTGAGGTGAAACAGAGAGGGTACTGTGGTACATGTGATAAGAAAGTGAAAAGGAAGACTAACCGGAGGAGGAAAGAAAACCAGCTAGAGAGCAAGAGGGAGTCCAAGGGATGGGAATGATGGGAACAGGTATAGGGATGCATATGTATGGAGGCGCCATGGCTGAAATTCATTACCGTGTGTGTTAATCTAAAAACAGTAAGACAAATAAAAGTAGAATGGCTTCAGAAGGTGGAAAGTATTAGAAAAAAAGGGGGCAGGCGCCAGCTCTGTTTAAGGGGGCTACACTTCAATTCATACATAAAAATGAACAAACTTCCTCAAAGAAGAGGCAACAAAACCCAGAGCCAGGCGTCGAATGTTTTAATGACGCTGTTATTTTGATTTTGTATCCCATCTCTCAGAACCGCCTCCCCCTTTGAGTAAATGCTCTTACTTTTGTCTTTATCTCAAGCCTGGGCGTTTATGGAGAACTTCCAATTCCAGGTGTCTGCAAGGGTTTTCATAATTACTGCTCTCACCATTTTCACGGGATAGACATAATAATGTAGCAAAGGCTACATAGAAATGTGCCTGTTTCTCCAAGCCTGTGGTTTGGGCACACTGTCCTGCTAACTCCTAGCATGTATGTTCTTGGAGTAAGGAGTCGCTTGTTCGTCCTGGCCACCCAGAACCAAAATAATCACACAGAAACTGTATTAGCTAAATCACTGCTTGGCCCATTGGCTCTAGCATCTTATTGGCTAACTCTTACATATGAATTTAACCCATTTCTATTAATCTGTGTATCAGCTTTTGGTTGTGGCATACTGACTAAAGTTCTGGTGTCTGCTGTCTCCGGCAGGGCTACATGGCCTCTCTCTGACTCGATCCTTCTTTCTCCCAGCATTCAGTTTTGTTTTCCCTGCCTACCTCTATTCTTTTGCCCTATCAGGCCAAGCCAGTTTTCTTTATTAATTAACCGATTGTATTCACAGCATACAAAGGGGAATCCCACATCATGTTCTTTCTCTTTCACGACTCAAGCACATTTACTGGGCAGGAGATATGTCAAAAGCCAATATGTTCTTGTCAAAATAGCGATGTACACTTGCTTTCAAAACAGTCCAAACTTGCCAAGCCTGCAAAGGAAACACACAAATCAGGAACTCCGAGCAGGTGGGACCTGAGTTGCATTGATTACTTTCGCTACCTAACGCATGTGCTTATCTGTTTATTCGAACACTCAGATGTGTTACAGGATTTCTGGGAGACACTCTGAATCAACCTGGCAGTCTTGCTACATTACAGAATCTATTTGTTGATTACAGAACTGCTCTGTGGTTCAGGCAGAACTGCACCTGAAATTTCCCAGATGCTATAAAGAAGGTACAGTCTATCAAGCCTATGTAATTATTTCATTTGCCAAATAAACAATGTCTTGTTTTAATAATTGTAAAGGATGTCATTTGGAGAAAAATGAGCACAAAAATAGATGCATTATCAGGCTGGTGATTTTCATCAGCCGCTGCTAAGCAGAAGCAAGTGATCCTGTTAGACCAGTTAGGGATTCCCCGTGCAGAGCTGGGCTGGGGTTGGGGCTATATGAAAGCAAGGACATTCCACTTTTTAATGTTTTTATAATGCTCCCATGCCTGGTGACAGTGATGGAAGAAAGGGGGGGGGCTAGGGAGGGAGAAAGAAAGGGAGGGGGAAGGAAGGTTAATAATTTGCCATAGCCTTATGTTTTGAAGTTGTTAAATTGTAAAAGGGGAATCGTGGGTAGCAGGCATCCTCAGGTAATTTGGCAATTTCACTGGTTTCAGAGTTTCATTGTTTTCTTCTATCAGAAAAATAAACATGAGATACAACTGCCTAGTGCATGCTGATTCTTATTTATTTTAGTGTGGGATCAAATGAATAGGAAAATACACAAAAGATAAGCAAATGAAGAGATATCAAAGGCACAATGATGATCACAGAGGAAAACTAGTCACTAAACATCTGAGAGTAAGATTAAATTTGGCTTCAATCAATCCGTCAATTGATTGGTCAATCAGACAATCAATCATTATCAGTCAGTTCACTTATTCACCTACCCAAGTCTTCAATAACATATTTTAAGCCTTGACTGTGTAACAGTCATTGAGCAGATCCAAAGATAATTACCTGGATGGATAAGGCATGGGTCTTGCTTTTGTAATTGAGTGAAGTTGGGCAGATGAAACTAATAACCCCCACGTGAACCTCTGAGAACTGTTCACATGTAAACAGAATGCAAAGGGAAGGGAGGAGGAAGCACAGATGTCCCCTTGGAATGAAGAGGAGGACACCAGAGACGAAAGTACATTGGTGTTTGATCTCTAAGCAAAATATGCATTTATCAGATAAAAGCCCCTTCATGCAGAGGGAGCAAAATCGCAGCTCAGAGAAGCTGGAAAGAAAACCGTAAGGGAAGGCTGGTGGCATCAGAGTGCCAGCAGATGCCATGCCAGTTTAGAAAGATGATCGCAAAGGGTCACTTGTATCAAATACCAGTACCTCATCAGTCAGTGTAATCCCCCTCCCATCTGGGTAGTGGTCTGGGTTCCAGAAATCTTGCAAGTGTACTACTTGTCTTTTCAGATGTAGGAACTGGTTTGCTGGGTCCTCCATCAAAAATGGGGCTCCTGTTACTTCTGTAATCAGACCAAGGGCACAGAATCTTTTAGGACAGTGCATCACACGCCTGTGTTTTCTCTAAAACAGGCACAGCTCCGGTGTTTGTGCAACCAGGTTTCTGTGGTGGGACACTCTGGGAAAACTATGTCCTGAGGGATACAGAAGGCCTGCTGTGACCTCTGCAGTGTCACCATTATAATCTACAGGTGGAGGGGAAAGTATTGCAGAGTCGTGGTGCATATACATGTACGGGAGCCGCAAAGCCTGGATTGCAATTCTAACTATCCTGCTTTTCTGCAGAAATTACTTAATATTCTAAGCTCCAGTTTTATTGTGGGTAAAAGATTCTAGTAAGAAGACATATCTAGTTGTTATAAGGGCTGAATAAATTAATAGATAGCAGCTCACTGTATTCAACCAGTCAATGTTTGTGACTCTCTCTCCCATAAGGCTTGCTGGTTAGTTGGCGTCAAAGGTCAATGGGGTCAAAGGTCAATGATACACAGCAGAATGAGACAGCATGTGGTTCACTTACACCGTTCATGAGGACCAGACTATTAGGCACAAATAACTGCTTCCATGGTCATTTAGAAAGAAAAGATTAGTTCAGAAGGGTGGCAGAAGAGGCTGGAGTTTCCATTTTAGAGGAATGATATGTGGACAAGAGTTTAATGGGAATCTACAAAGTCTATGTCTGAAAACAGTAGCTAGCAAGAAGTAGAAAGAAGGAAGAGGCATAACTGTTAATATTTAATTTCAGAATATTGTAGTGACAGGTGCCAGAGTAATACTGTCCTAATGTAGCTAACCTGATTTCATGTAATCCTAGTGGAATATCTGTGGAAGCCTCTCCCATGACTCCCACACCCCTCCACCTCCCAGTGTTCATACCCCTGTTCGTTCCCCGCTTTCAGCTTATAAGGCTGTCCTGTGTAGCCCAGGATACTGTTGAAACAATGGCATGTGCTTCTTCTAGGGCTACTGTGTGGCTTCTGCTGTGTTCTTTATTGACTCACTTGCTCTGAGAGAGGGTAGATACTATGATCTCAAGGAGGCCCAAGAGAGAGGCCAACAGCTCAAGTAAATAAAGCTTCCCAACATCTGTGCACACAACCGCCTGGGAAGCTGATCCTTTTCCCAGGCCCTAAGATGACTGTAATGCCCACACATCTGTTTAATGTAGCATTATGGCAAAACAAATAAGCAAGCAAGAAACACTCAAGTCAGAACCAAGGCCCTAAGCTGCTCACAAACTCCTGACCCTGAAATGGAAATAATAAATGCTTATTGTTTTAAGCCATTACAGTTTGAGGCAATTGGCTACATGGTAGATAACTGCCACAGTAGGCATTTGCTAACATCTAGGAGAACTGTTGCTCACAAGGGTGAATCTATAGTCAAGAGAGGGAGGGCTCTAGTCACATATCAAAGAACGTATTCTCAGAGGAATGCAAATTTTGTGCCCTAAGACCTTCACTTCCCCATATTTCGTCCTTATTCTGAGAACTGTCATTGCTTGGTTATATAATCAAAAGATAACCCCAGCCCATAACCTCTGCTTGCATGCAAAGATAAGCCACCTGTACCATGTGGGAATTTAAAGTCAGAGTTAATGGGTAACTCAGAGAAGACACATTGGGATCAGACCATTTATAGTGTGTGCAACTATTTATTAGGGATATTTTATTTTATTTCATTTAATTTTTAGACAAGGTCTTGCTATGTAACTATGACTAGTCTGGTACTGGCTAAGGCTGGCCTCAAACTCATATCAACACATCAATCTTTCTCCCCCAACCTCCGCTGTATTGTAAATGTAGGCATGTATCATCTTGATCAGCTTTAAGGATATAATTGATTTGGATACCGTCATGGAGACCTTCCAGAGAACCTGGCATTATCGGCAGGCATATAGGTCTCAATAGCTAGGAAAAGGTAGCAGAGGACAAAAACATGCTTTTGAAGTTGAAAGGAGCTGAGAGACAAGGAACAGGATATTCAACCAAGACCACGTTCAGCCACCTCAACTTTGCCAGTGTGGTGGAAATAGGTGTGCTTAGACAGTAGACGTGCTTTAGCAATGACTCCCAGTGCACCCTCTTCCAGTTTCTGGTAACCTCTGTTCTCCTTCCTAACTTATTGAAGATGCATTCCAGGCACCCCTACTCAGTGGACTCCTCCAGTATTCATGCTTTATTTCACTTAGCAAAAAGTGGGAAAAAAAGTATAAACATGTTTAGACAATAGTGAATTGAACCTGGAGTCCAAGGGATATTTAATGCAACACTAAGGAATTTAGGTTTTACTTTGTAAATGATTTAAGATCATTTCTGAACAAAAAAAATAAAGGGTCAATTTGCTTCTAGTTATTTTTATTTTGATAAAAATAACAACCATTTTAATTTTTTTAAAAAAATTTCTTACTATGCATCCCTGGCTAGCTTGGAATTCATGACATAGACCAGGCTAGCCTCAAGCTCACAGAGATCTGCTTGCCTCTCCTTCCCAAGCACAGTGATTAGAGGTGTGTGCTAGCACAATCATGCTAACTGTTGTTGAGGGTATAAGTCAGTGGCATCAAATTCATTCATATGCTTTGTAACCATCACCTCTGTCCATTTCCAGAACCATGTCCTCATCTTAGACAGAATCTCGGAATGCTTTAGCGGTGGCTCCCGACCCAACCTCTTCCAGTTTCTGGTAACTGCTGTTCTCCTTCTTATCTTATTGAAGATGCATTCCAGGTACCTTGACTAAGTGGAGTCATCTAATATTCCTGCCTTCTCTCTCTTAGAAAAACGCATCCATGGTCCTCCTGTGCTGTGAAGGGCCGGTACACATTCCTTTGTGAGACTGAACAACATTGTATAAATATGCCCCATTTCTCTTCCTGTGCACGACTCTGCTTTGTTGGTGGTGTGGAGAGGCAGATGGGAAAAGGAGAGAGCAGATCAAAGGATGCAAGGTTCAGACGCTTCTAATTGTCAGGTGACTGATAATGACAATGGAGATGGGAAGTCACCAAGGATCTGAAGAAACTCAGAAGGGTTTGTTCATTTATAGTTTGAACAAACCAGCACTGGCATTTTTGTTTAGTTAAGAGGTGCTCATGGGGTGGGGGTGGGGTTCTCAGATTTCTCGTTTATTCTTCCTGAAGAAAAGGGATTAAGTCACGATCTTACATACCCTGGGCCTTATAATCCTGTTTTAAAAGATGTTTATCTAAACAAGATGAGTTGCGATGCAAAGGGGACCAAGTATTACCAGCAAATTGTAATATTGCAAAATAATGGTGCTTAGGTTATAATTTCCAGGTAGAAGAAGAAAGTGTAGTTGCTTCACATTGTGTTACACAGGCTTATCCAAAAGTTCAACGTGTATTCTAAGGCACAATTACCCTAGTACAATCTCCGAGAACCAAGGAGCGATTACATAAGCCCCAGTAGAGAAGTGTGATTTAAAATATATGTCATTGCTATTTTAGGCTTTAATAACCCTATCTTTGGAACTCTGCTCTCTTTTTTCTTCATGGAAAATGTTTTACAGATACAGCCCTCTCTTTCTTCCCTGGGCAAAGCACCCACCTCAGCATAACGGGCCCAATAGGCAGCCAATAAATATTAATTGATGGTGATAATAACATCACCCAGGAGCAAGAGGCAGCAAGTGTTATTTATTATCTGCCATTACAAATGGGAAAATTGACACTGGGGGATGAAATGAGTCACTCAAGGTCACATCAGAAGCCAGTGGCAGGCTGGAAATAAAATCTAAGCACTATAGCGGGGCATGCTATTACCCTCTCTGCTTGAGAAATTTCTCCTCCCTTTTCCATTTTGTCTGACCAACCTTGAAAGTTCGTGAAAGCAAGAGCAGGGCTTTGAGTTTGTGGGTTCACTTAATATTGCTGGGCCCTGGAAATTAAACCCTGAGTTTCCTTGCTTTGCTGGTTTTCAAAAGGGTATTTTGTGTTTTTGTTTTCTGAATGTAGTTAATACCAGCCAGGTTAACACCTTCCTTAAAATCTTTATAAGCCATAAAAATATTTCTCCCTTGATAACTCTTTATAGTCCATTTTTCCTTTTAGTCACAACTAATACGTTCTACTGATGTTCTACCTGAAAGTTCTCCAATACCCTTCCAAGAAGATGCTAAGGACAGAGACTTCAGGCTGAACAGCTCTTCAGAGTCACCAGGCACAAGAGCCCCATGCTTTGCTGTCCCTGCTGGTGACGGTCTACTTCATGGAGCCACTTCCCCCATGCCTCCTTTCTGTTGTCAAGGGAGGCTGAGTTACATAATCTCTAAGATGTATTGTGATAAAGTAGAAATGGTCCCAAAGAAGTATGTATAAAAGAGGATGATGTGAAAATAATATACAAATGTATCAATAATGTTAAAAATATGAAATTTCTATAACTGTAGCAGCAGAGATCAGATATTCTCTGCTAAGTTTTCTATTTCCATTTCTCCCTCTCTTTTTTCCCCTTTGAGACAGGATCTTGCTTTGTAGCCCATGATGGCCTCAATTCTCTGCTATGTCCCCACCTCACCTTTCAGTGTTGGTATTACAGGCATAGGCCACTGTGCTTAGTGTTAAACTCTTTCCTTCCTTCCTTCCTTCCTTCCTTCCTTCCTTCCTTGTTTCCTTCCTTCCTTCTTTTCTCTTTCTTCTTTCTTCCTTTCTTTTTCTCCTTCCATTTCTTCCTTCCTTCCTTCTTTTTGTCCTTTCTTCCTTTTCTTGCTTTCTGCTTGTTTGTCTTTTAGAGACAGGGTTTATTTGTATAACTCTGGCTCTCCCAGAACTCACTCTGTTGACTAAGCTGTCCTCAAACTCAGAGATCCTCCTGCCTCTGCTGGGATTAAATGTGTGCACCATCATTGCCCTGCCAAATTCTTTTCTTCTTAAAGGGAATCAGACCCCTTGATTCCTTCCCTTCTCACTCTTAAATTTGGCCACCAATTAAACATTTGTGGTCATGGGATAGAAGACTTGTATTTAGTAGAAGAAATACTC